CATATCCCCAGTACCTAGGATCTCAGATTTTATTGGTGTTGTTTTACAGTTGTGTTTAACTCTTTGTGACCTCATATAGGGTAGTTTGCCATTTCCTTCTCTAGCTCATTTTACAGATGAAGAAACTGAGACAAACAGGGTTAAGTGACTTGCAGTGTCTGAGGGGAGATTTAAATTCAGGAAGATGAGTCTTCCTGACTCAGTAGGTGCTCAGAAAAGGCACCTTTAAAAGTCATCTTGGACTAAATGTGTTTGGAGGATGCCTTATTCATAAATAACATAACTCCACCTAAACCAGAGTGAAGAATCACAAATGCTATAGTACTGGATTCATAAAAGTTTGAATTCAGGAGGTTTTAGAGACTCATCAGCACATCAACAGGAAGTTGTCTAGTAATAGAATGGTTTTTAAACATTAAATCAATTCTTAAAAAGGATTGAGGGATAGTGTTCCATGTTGGTGGAGAAAGCAAGCATACACTGAGGAAATTACGTGTTTTAAAAATATTTTGTTCAGACATTAAGCAGCAGCAGGCCCGTGCCTGGAGCCCACTGACCTGTTGCTTTGGTTGGGTATAAAATGTAAACAGCCGCTTCTACCAAGCATCAGTGAGAGAGGCAAAAGGCTTTTTGTTTGTTTAGTCAGAACTTTGATTTTATTAGATTGGAAATGAAGAGTTATTATATAGAAGAAAGATTAAACTTGTTCTTCCAATTTAATTCAACAAGTACATATTAAGCACCTACTGTATATAAGTTACTGTGCTAAAGAGTAGGGATATAAAAAATCCCTCCCTTCTAGGATGCTTTTTTTTTTTTAGGGGTGAAGGGAGGGAGTCACAACATGTACACAGTTAAATAAATATTATGTTATTTCAGGAGAGAGATATGCTTGGGGAAATAACTTTGTGAAGAACATAACAAATAAGCTAAGCCATGCAAGAGAACCTGTGCAAAGGCAGGGAGATAAATGGAATGTGATACATGGAGGAACACAAAGAAGGCTGGTTTGGCTGGAATATAGTGTGTGAGGTGAAGTAACATGAAACATCTGAAGATACTGGTGGATACATACTGCAAAGGGCTCTAAATGCCAAATAGAAGTTTGTTTTTTGTTTTTTGTTTGTTTGCTTGTTTTTATTTTATCCTAGAAGCAATAGGGAGCCACAGAAGCTTCTTGAGCTAAAAAAATGTCAGAGTTAGATTCGTGTTTTAGGGATATCAAGACACAGCCACATTGAGGACTGACAGAAGAGCTGAAAAACTGGAAGAAGACCAATTAGGAGACTACTCTAGGAGGCTGGAAAAGAGATAAGAGATGAAGAGGTCCTGAATAGGGGGTAGGGCATGCATGTGAGTAAAAGGGAGGGAAGGGTATGTCTGGGAAAGAGGATTTGTTGGGAATCAAAAGAACTAATCTCTGGCCAGGAAATTTGCCATCTCTAGATTTTAAGCCATGGTCCAGAAGTCCAAATCCCTTTCTCAGATGTCATCTCTTTTGCTTCACTTCCAAATCAAAGTTTCACTTCTGAATCCTTTGCCTCAAAGGAGAACAAGTTGGAAAACCCAGCCTGTGTCCCCATGGTTTTATTTCTTGCCTAAAATTTCATAATCATTGGCAATATTTTTTTTTTCAAGGAAACATAGGTCCATGGTACCAATTACCACAAAGAGGTCAGGGAAGATGCAAGCAGAAAAAAAAAAAGACTATTGGAGTTTGTAAGAAGGAAGTCAGTCACATCAAATACAATAGGGCACCCAGGGAAATGGAAGCAGGGGAGAGAATACGCATTTATATTACACCAGGAATTGTGCTAAGTGCTTTATAAATATTATCTCATTTGATCCTCACTACAACCCTGCAAGGTAGGTATTATTATTATTATTTTCCCCATTTTACAGTTGAGAAAACTGAGGCCAAAAAAAGTTGTTTCTTGACCAAGGTCATATAGCTAGTAAAGTGTCTGAGGCCACAGTTGAACTCAGGTCTTCCCATTTCCAGGGCCCAGCATCTGTTGAGCCACTTGGCAGGGAGGAAAGTGATAGCTTCCTTACATTATCAATAAATGTTTATTGACTGAAGGGTCAAAAAAAGTTTCTTTTTACTCTAAGGTACCATTTCTCCTTTGCCACATGGCTATCCTCCACTACCCACTGGGCGATGATATATGTCCTTCACAAAGCAGGGTAGAAATATTTCTCTAATTAACTATCATCCCTCTTGCAAGTGGCGAGGCTGTATTTAACCTGTTATCTGCTGTTATTACTAACAGCAATATTTCACAGTATGTTGATAGCAAAGGATTTGGAAGGTTCTAAACTGCTTATCTTGGGAGGGATAATTCATACACGTGGCCGTAGAATTAACAGTAGTTATGTAACTGGGCTTTAGCTAACAACCTGTGCTCCTTTGTCCTTACTGCCTCAAACCCTGAAACCTACAGAGACAGTTTATGAGGCTGTAGATTTTTTTCTATTTCTACTATTAGCAATTACATTAGTCCATACACTAGCTATCTCCTCATCTAAGAAACTATGGAGATTAACAACAAAATAAAAACACAAATTCCTATGAAATCTTATGAAACAAACAACCACACCAAACCAGAGAGGGGTTGGTCCTAAAGAGGCTAACAGTGTCAAGTAGCAATTGTCTTCAGGCAGATTTCTTTATTCCACTTAGAAGAATGGGAGAATATTAAAACAAAGAAGGAAGAAGTGTCCAAAAACTTCGGTACCATTTTCTTCAATATGGCAGCTTTAGGCTATTAAGTCAATATCAGAATAAACCAAAGCCCAGACTTTCACTAAAGACATAAAGTCCCAGGGTCAGATCAAAGGAAAAACTGCTTAATTATTTTGGGCATTCATTTCATTAGGCATTAGGTATCATAAGCCATAACATTTCTTTCAAAATCTTTTTTTTCCACTTTATTTAGTAGCAGAAATTACTCTAACACAAGTGAAATGTAAATATGACAATTTTCCCATCCCAATTTCAGTAACCACACTCATTGCATGTTATTGCCCCATACAAGCAAAATCTTGAGTGCCACTCTATAGTGGGACACTGATTTAAAGATTTAATTTAACATGCATAACACACAATATGGATCACATGAATGTACTGTTAACTAAGAAACTGGCTATCTCTGGGTAATAAGGTGAATAAAAGAGTTGTGAAAAAAGTTAATATCCTACCATTTTATAACAGACATTTTACTGGTTATATGTTGGAGGGAGCTAGGTGACTCATCTTTCTCAGTTCAAATCTGGCCTCAGGCATTTAACTGTGTGACCTCATGCAAATCCCTTAACCCTGTTTGAAGCAGTTTCCTCATCAGTAAAATGAACTGGAGAAAAAAAATGGCAGAGCCACTCTAGTATCTTTGCCAAGAAAACCCCAAATGGAGTTACGAAGAGTCAGACACAACCAAAACAACTAAATAACTACAGTTCTATGTTGTTTTCTGAAATTCAGTAAGTGTAAAGGCATAACCAATTATTTTAGGAGGTATATTCCCTGATAGCAAAATTCTAATAGGAACGAACAGCCATTACCCTGATTAAAAATGACCCTTAATTTAATACTTGTGTTTTCAAGAAAAAAAACTGCTATGTTTTAGGGACCTTCTTTTTCTTCGTCTTCTCATTCTATATCTTTCTTTTCCATTTCTCTTTTGGACTTGGCTTGCGATTTCATTGATACAGGGAACTGCCAGTGATGAGTCTCTATCAATAAAGAACTATATTTGCTCTGTAATTTATAGCCTCAGATGGTTACCTGCGAACACTGAGCGTCTAAGTAACTTGCCCAAGTTAAAAAAAACTCCAGAAGTGTCAGAGATAGGTCTCAAAAGCAGTTCTTAATTCGATGCCAAGTCCTTACCCTCTATACCACAATACTTCTCTAAGCAAAAATACAAAGACAACAAGTAACAGTGCCTACCTTCAAAGAACTTACAGTTTACTGAATATAGATGTTTTATCAAATTTATTTTCTTCAACAGATGTTTTATCTAAGAAGCTCATTCAGTTGCTATCAAAACAGTAACACCATCATAAATACACCTGCTTAAGTCTATCATGTTCATATCTACTAATGTGCCAATATCCTCTCATTGGACATCCTGTCCAAAGCCAGATTGTAAGGCCCTAGGAGGCAGGAACCACCTTTGTCTTGCTCTGAGTGCCTCTAGGTAAATGACTTAGCTTCTCTAAACCTCAGTTTCCATATCCATAAAATGAGAATAATAACACTTGCACTGTTTATTTCACAGGGTGGTTTTGACTTAAGGTGCTACAGAAATGTCACATCTCCATCCTAATTATCATCCACCATGTTCAAAGCACAGTGCCAAGGCAGATGCAAAGATGGATAATACAGGAGCTTTGTTCTCAATGAATGAATAGTACAGTAAAATATTCCAATAATAATTCAGGACAATTTTCTCTATGCTTACATGACAAACTGATATTTTGTGCATGCAGGTATGGTTCTTTAGTGAAGGGAAATTTAATCCAAACAGTTGCTTAAAATTAATACTTTCAACCCTATTAAGGTGAGATTTTCAGACACAAGCATCCTTAATTATTGTCAAGTTCTGCATTATTTTATCTTTAGTATTCTTTCTAGCTCTGCATAGATAAGAAAGGGCAAGGAGATGCAATGAGAAAACACCTGGTTCTAAAAAAAAAAGTGGTCAGAAAAACTTTGCCTCGCTATCCAATTCAACCCAAATTCAATGAACATGTATTAACTATGCCAGGCACTGACTGTATCCAGAAAGTTAAACGTCTTAAATTAGTTGAGTTAATGTTAATGCTAATTCAAGTAGTAAAAATATATAGAAAGGCTCTTTAAAATTTCATTTGCAACAATTTAAAATTGTTTGAATAGTAACTTATCCTCTTGTGGTAATGTTGATGAATTGTTATTTTATTTGGCTGATGCACTTGAATGGAACCAAGTCCATCCATTTCAAAAGCAGAATACTTACTGATTCAGGACAGGTGTGTATGCAGTTTTATCCTCATCAATAATTGTGACCATCAGAGTGATGAGCTGGGGCCAAAAATCCAAATTCTTGGTGGTTGGACCCTGATCTTCTCGAGGAATGTCCTGTTTCTTACTCTGATTAGAGGACCACAAAACAAACAAACAAAAAAGTCAAATTGAATAATTTCAATTACATCTCAGTGTACAATGGGTAGAGAAAACTGTGAAAAAAATATTTGTGGTTACTTAAAAAAACAAAGCTAAATAAAATGTCCTTTCTTAGTTGAGTAACCATTTGTAGATTGATAGTGACATGGGCCCACAGGAAAAAAAATCTTGTGGGGCAGCTAGGTGATGCAGTGGGTACAGCAGTGGCCCTGGAATCAGGAGGACCTGAGTTCAAATCCAGCCTGAGATACTTGACACTTACTAGCTGTGTGACCCTGGGCAAATTATTTAACTCTGTCTTGCCAAAAAAAAATCTTGCTGATCTGAAAGTGACCCAGTAGAGTGGATTAATGGGAAGGGAAAAGGAAGGGGTCTTTGTAGAAAGTACAAAAATTGAGTAATCCTACTGTTTTAGCAGTCTAGAAATTAGTATAGTAACTAATCCCCATTTCTACTGAATTTGTCTTAAGTATTTTTTATTAGTTTTACATCACAAATTATAGTTGATTTGAGAGTTCATTTCTTGTTACTTATGATAAATACCAAAATTGCTAGCTACAGTTCTGCACTGACTAGTGTGATTCATGATTTGGTGACCTTTAATAGGACAGACTATTTCTTTCAGAATGCTTTGATCAATGTCTTTGATGAGAACTTTACTTGGGGAACCACGGAAGGGGAACACTGAATTTCACTGTCTCTAGTTCTTATTTCCTAAGACCTTAAATTAAAGTATTGGGTCCAAGAACCTATGGGTGCTCAAGTAATGAACTCTTTGGTGAAATCTATATAATTCCTAAAATCACATGCATAAGCACACAATTTTAGCTGAATGACCAAGAACCTATCATTCCAGATGCTTTCTCCCTGTACCCTTTAGTCTCATCTTCATAATCAGAACTGTATAAACATGACTGAATCTTTCATTCTATCAAAACCTCTCCAACTGGCACACTGGCTATATTCTAGAACTCCCATTACAGATCTGAAGGCATGCTGGGATGGAACTGATTCTGAATGATCATACTCAGCATTGAGCAGCCCTTCAAACCATGTACCCTTACTCACAAATAACTCCAATTTGATACTATATACTTATTTCAAACACACCAAAACAGATCAATGGGTTTTTCATTCAGTAAGTATTCTCCCTGCAGGACCACTTGGGCATTTATTGACCTTTCAAAATTAGGCCAAACAGGCAAGGAAGACTTTCTGCTGAAAAATGTACAAGGCTTTAAGTCATTTAGTCAGAGAATTCTGGCTGACTTTATTGAATTAATGACAGACCTGTGGCCTCAGGTGGTCCCAGAACTATGGCCATACATTTAAAATATTGGCCTCAAGAATAGCAGGGGACCTTTATCAGTCCAAGCCTATCCATGAGATTGGTATCTGTGTACCTTATTTTTTGAGTTGTCTTCACTGAAATTGAATCCCTAATACTTTAAATAGGTCTCCATTAAATTTTGTCACAATTAATTAGTTGCATTTTCTATTACCTTCAATTACATCTTCTCTTTCCTGAGAATTTAGGAAACAAAAGAACCCTTAGAATTTTAACAAGGCATAAATAAAATTAATTCTGATGGTTCCAGGAGACAATAATAGAGTACTCTCATTAATCACCACCCTGCATATGCAGTTTTACTAAAAAAAAAAGTTACTGGTTGTAAATATTGTGGTTAAATGAAAGGAAATTACAATTGATAGTATGACTAATATGACAACCAACTTATCATCCCACAAGCAGGAGGCTTTAAAGAAGAGAGTCAAAAGTATATAAATATATGCCAATTCAAAAGCCTAAGAGATGTTACTGATTACATACCCATTAGTCTTATATGCTCCATGGCATGAGGAATTTATTTTTGGTACCATTGTTGCATGAGGATTCTGAATGTTTTTTATAAGGATTAACTAAAAGGTTCATTTACCCATTAGAGTTGTTTACATATCCTACAGCAGTGATTCTGATGAATCAGGTTCCTAATCAGTAACTTTCTTGTACATATAATAACAACATCATCTATAAGGTTAGTGATGGTGGTGGTTTTCAATTCAAGTTTACGGGAAACTGACTGGGCTCTGGAGAAGAACAATTTCTCAAAGTGTTTTCTTTATGTATAAAGAGAGTCCATAGAGGCTTTCACTGTGTGGGAAAAAAGTATCTGTGTGTGGGGAGATGATTATAGACTATATAAGAATTATGTTCCTTTTGCTCCCTCATAATGGTATGTTGAATTTTTCAAAAGTGTCACTCAGAACTTCTCTTAAAGTTCTACTCTGATGCCTAATCAATGCATGGACGTGATGTTGGGTTCTTTAAGGCTATGCAACTGGAGCACCCACTTTGCCAGGTCCTACAAAGACATGGAACCAATGGCAGACTGTGCTTCTTTTTAAAGACCAGACTCAACAATTCCAGAGAAATCGATTAGGAGAAGGTTGGCCAATGGGTGACTAATTTTTTGGCCATAATATCTTATGAAACTATCTACTAAAATGCTGAGAGTTGTGATCTCATTACTGGAGGGATTACCCACAAACCTGGAACTGACATTTGAGTGGGATTTTTCTGCTGTCCCTAGTGGAGTGCTGAATGCTCAATCAGCACATTTTCTCAGCTGTCTCATAGGATATTTGATTGTCACATCTCTCAGGGCTCACTTTTCCATCAAACTACATAGGATGCCTCAAATCACAATGGAACTATGGCAAAGAAAAACCTCCACCACAGTAAACACAGCCTTGGCCTTCTCCAGGTCTTATCTATTCCTTGCCCTCCTTTGCCACTATGCCCTCTGGAATTCTACTCCATTTTAACAAACTCTTTTTCAATTAGGATCTTTTTTTTCGCATTCCTTATATTTTCCAGTTAGTATTCATTGTAACCCAGGTTTCTCCTGAAGGAATTAATATCCCTTGATACCATCTCCATCAGGCTGTCTTACCTTGCGACATCTAGAACAAAGGACTAGGAAGAGAAGTTGCCATATTCCTTGCTCCCTATTGCCACTTTCATCTATTTTCACTGCTACTATTATTCTGCAACGACTCCTTCTCCTTTAAAGTTCCCTCCAGCACCAATCAGACCTGTAATTGCCATCTTTTATCCATTTCTAAGTCATTCTTCCTCTTCCTGAATAAGTTCTTATAGTCATCTTCTTCATCTCTACCCTAATCCCCTTTGAATACTTTGTCTTCCCAGTCCCTCCACCTCAACTTCCATAATCTCTATCTCCAATCTACCTCAATCATACATGAGTGATCATATTTGAGACATCCCCATCAAAGACCTCTTGATGGAAACCAGGAGGATGGTAGTTGCAAGATGGGCAAACAGAAAATAACTTAGCAAAGCATGTAGAGCAGTTCCTAAAGGATCTGGTCAATAAGGTAGGAAATTACTGAAAACATTTTGACTGAAAAGTGTCAGAAGACCTGAATTCACAACCCAGCTTTGCTAATTACTTCACAAATGAACCTTTTTGAGTCCTTGTTTTCTCATGTGAAAAATTAGTGTATTAAACTAACTGCCCTCTAAGGTTGTTTCCAACTCTACATCTATGATCCTTTGGTCCTATGAACTAAGGATTCTGGATGGTCAGGACAGAGTGGAGCTTGGCATACATAGCGCACACACACACACACACACACACACACACACACACACACTCAAAATAAGACTAACATTTTATTGTAAATACAAGAACCCAGGGCAGGTAGGTGGCTCAGTGGATAGAGCACTGGCCCTGGATTCAGGAGGACCTGAGTTCAAATCCAGCCTCAGACACACAACACTTATTAGCTGTGTGACTCTGGGCAAGTCACTTAACCCCATTGCCTAGCCAAAAAATAAATAGATACATAAATTTCATGTGAATACAAGAACCCAATAAGTATAAGCCCACAAAAAAGAAAAGAAAGAAAAGTATATTAATTTAAGATTTTTAAAAAATACACAGAACATAAGTCATTCAGAAGAGGACTCAGACAAAGAATTCAGTTTTCATACTACTGTGTTCAATTTATTATAGATTTAAATGAAACCATGCTGTGCAAACCAGGTGTCAAACATGTGGCCTGTGGTAACATTACTAAGTGTGGCCTGAACAAGATTAAAATGAGAAATATTTAACAAAATAAATACAAATACAATAGAACATAGATAATGCTAATATGTCATTTCTGTCAATATATGGACTGCAGGAATTCTTCCACATTGTTAAGTAGTTCCCATTTCTAAATGAGTACGACACCATTTCTCTCAACATAATAGACTCAGTTTCTTATACAATCCTCTGTTTATGTTCTTTCTATAAGAAAATGTTCATGTTTGTTGATGTATGTGCAGCAAATGATTTTTTTAAAGTTCACATAAAAATGGACAACTCATATGTAAAGCCACCTAATTAATAATGTCAAGGCCTTTCTGACTAAACAGGTATGATGGTCTCCTACTTTGGATTAACAAATTAATTCATAATTATTTACATGTTGCTAATGACAATAATAATTACTTACTTTATATACTATTTTATAGTTACATGATGTTTTTATATATTCTCTTACTCTCACCAGAACCTTAATGGTAAAATAGACATTTAGCATTTCTGAGATAAAAGGGCCCGAATGCCTCTCCCCTCAAAACAAATTGTAGATAATAATACTAATAGGCACTCTGATGCCTAGAGATGTGAAAAGGTAACAAAAAAGTCATCTTTTCTAGCACTTTGCATCATCTAGAACATTATAGGTACTTAATAAATACTCACTGATTTCACTCATTACTTTATACAACAATATGTCCTGGGCATCTTGATTTGGTCATGCAGCTTCCTCTCTTTTCCAAACCTGTAATACTTCCTTCTGACCAGACCCCCAGGATATACCCCAATCCCCAGAGGAGTTAATTTATTCAGCATTGGAACATGACACTGGCGTTGAGCTATACTGATTGGTGA